GCCCCACCTGCCCACAGCGGGCTGGGCCCTTCCTTATCAATTATCAATCAAGACAATCTCCCCCAGAACAGCCACAGGCCAGTGTGACCAAGGCAGTTCTTCCTTTCAGGTTCCCTCTTCCCAGCTGATTCTAAGTTGTATCAAATGGAAAATAAAAACTCTATCATTAGTTTTTAATAATTAGTAATTAAATAAAAACTCTAGTATTTTCTTTTTCTCTTTTAAGGTAGAGTCTCCATAATATAGCCCAGGCTATCTCTCATCCATCTTCCAAATGCCATTGGGCCTGGTTCTCTTTGTCCCTTCTCTCTTTGGTTTTTTTGGAGACAAGGTCTCACATGCCTCAGCCTCCTGAATTCTGGTACTAGAGCTGGTCACTAGCATGCTGGACTCCTTTTATTTAAATAAACTTTTATTATTTTCTCTCTTTATAACACACATGAATACACATATAGGTACATTTTCATGATATAGGAAATTGAAAAAAATACAGGCAAATAAAAGACATATAGCAGTTACCATTCAGAGATACAGCTTCCTTCCCTTCGTTTCTGGCTCTTTCTCCCCCACCCCCTTTTCTTTCTTTCTAAAAGTGTCCCATCTGCCCCAGGCTGACTTCGAACTCTCTATGTAGCTGAGGATTCTTTGATTCTCCTGCATCCAGTGCTGGGATTACAGGAAGAGCCACCATGCAGTGCTGGGATTGAACCCGGGACTTTGTGCATACCAGGCAAGCACTCTACCAACTGAGCTACATCCCCAGTCCCCATCTTTCTTTCCCAAACACGTAATTTTAAAAATAAAACATCTTTTTTATGTTTTATTATATATATTCTTCCACCATTAGATATTTTTTACCAGTTGATTTTTAACAGTCTTATTGACTTTCACTGCATGGCTTTATCATAATACATTTAACATATTTTCGATGGTTATTTAGGCTGCTTCATTTTTTGTGTGTGTTTTGTTTAGTAAGTGTCTTAGTTTCATTTCCTGTTTCTATGATGGAAATCCTGACAAAAGAGATTTAAAGGAGAAAGAGTTTATTTGGTTCACAATTCCAGGTTACAGCCTATCATTATGGGGATGAAGGGGAAAAAAATCCTTGAAGCAGCTAGTCACATTACATCTACAACCAAGAGCAAAGAGTTATAAATTAATGCATGCATGCTCGCTCAGCTCACTTACACAGTCCAGAATTCTCTGCCTAGGGAATGGTGTCACCCACAATGGGCAGGTCTCCTCAACTTAATTAAGACAATATTTCACAGACATGGCCAGAGCCCTGACTACTAGATGATTCTACTTCATGTGAAGTTGATAATCAAAACTAATCATCACGGTATCTTTATTTCTGGGGTCCCCTTTATATTTGTGGTCTGTGTGGCCATCAGTTCATGAGACCAAAGGGGCAGAAGCAATGACAGAGATCCTTGGATGGCCCATGAACACGAAGGAGATAGCCCTCTGGGAGATGACTTCAGGGAATCAGCTCAACTTTATTCCAGAATATAGGAAATGTATAGGATTGGGGAGCCTGGGGAGAAACCCTAATTTGCATTAAGTGGCATGCTCCTATCATAAGGCTTCGCATGTGGCAGCAGGGTCCTATAGCAAAGCTCCTATTACAAGTCTTACTTACCATATGTGCAGCAGAGGGCAAGCTTCTAGCATGAAACTATGCCAAGGGTCATACTAGAGATTGAAAAAGAGATCCAGGCTTAGATACAGCCTTCAGACAAAGTCAGGCCTAGAGACATTCTCCAGATAAGGGCAGGTAGAGAGCAGGAAGAGATGGGGAGAGAGTCCCTCATGTTGCTGAGCTTTGGAGAGAGCTGCCAGGCCATGATAGACTGCCACCTCTGACCATCAAGGCCTCCCAACATTTATCTTACATAGGGTTTTACTGTGTAGTTTAGGCTGACCTCAAGTTCACTATCCTCCTGTCTCTACTACCATTCAAGTGCTGGGATTACAGGAATGTGCCACCATACCCTATTTTTGTTGATTTTTATAGATTTTTTTATGTGTATGAGTGTTTTGCCTGAGTGTGTGTGCACCATGTGCGTGACTGGTGCCCTTGGAGGTCAGAAGAGAGCATCAAGTCCCCTAGACCTGGAGTTACAGATGGTTACAAGCCATCATGTGGGTGCTGGGAGCCGAATCCAGGTCCTATAAAAGAGCAGCCGGTACTCTTTACCACTGAGCCACCTCCCCAGCCCTTGTTTTTAATGAATACTTGTATCGTTAAATGTCTGTATATTTGTTTGATCACTTTCTTATTTTCTTGATCAAACTCTTGACCAGAAAGAGAACAAGTCCATTTCTAATCCTTTAACACATTGTCTTGGCTAACCACCAGAGTTTAAATAAATAATGCAAAAGTCAATATTTTAATGCCAAGGTCACATTTCAATTTGAGTGTCCATTTTCTACAGTCTTAGCCTGTGTTCTTGAAAGCCATCTGGATACTGTGGCTTGTGAGTATGATCCTTCACACCGGGTATGAGAATCACATTTCTCTTCTTTCTCCAAGTCAAAGTTTACATGTTCCGAGGGCCCACCCCACAGTGCTGGAAAGACATTCAATCCCAATTGTTATAACCGATGGCCCAACTTCTGATCATGTGAAAGTCTGCTTGCCCAACCCCATAAGAGCCTTCTGGCTATTACTCCACTTTGTTACCATACACACACTTCTCATTCGAGATGGCATGGTCCCCAAATGCACTGAGTCTTCTCTCAGCTGGAGCTCAGGAGCCTTAGCCTCCCCCTCCCTGGGGCACCAACAGCCACCTGCATAAGAGATGCATAAACAAATGCAACACATCTTAAAGCAATATTCTACCGCAGTGTAGGCCAGAATGATGGCTAATACTTGTGGCTTCTGCTCCAACTCCCATGAACTGAAGACCTCCAGAAGGGAAAACGCTCAGGCTTAGGCAGGTTAAAGAGATCTAGGTGCGGAGTGGCCAGGATGCTGACCCACTGTTAAAGCTGATTATCAGGCAGCTTTAGCAGCAGCCAGGAAACGGGTTATCTTCTCCCAACCCTTCGATTGCTCAGAATCACTGGAGCACCAGTGAGGGGAAGATGGGCATTCAGACCAAAGTCCAGTTCCGTGGGACATTGTGAGTGGGGAGATGCAACAGGAAAGAGCAGCTGTGAATGCTGTAATGGGAGGGAAAGCCACAGTGGCTGCCCTAGGGCTTCTTTCTGGCACCTTCCCTGGCACTGGACATAGCTGAGAGTCCTTAGGTTTGGGCATCTGACAGCTTCCACTTCAAAATTCATCTCTGTTCCGCCACTACTTGTTGGTAGCATCATCATGACAACAATACTTTGATGAATATCGTGACTCTCAATTTCTTCATCTGTAACAAAGACTGATACAGACAGAAAAAAAAGACAATTGTTCAGGGATGAGAGGAGGTGGAGGTTCTTATTCACTAATGTGGTTTAAGAAAGAGGGCTTTGCCAGGGGGTGGTGACACACACCTTTAATCTCAGCACTCGGGAGGCAGAGGCAGGCAGATCTCTGTGAGTTCGAGGTCAGCCTGGTCTAGAGAGTGAGTTCCAGGGCAGCCAGGGCTACACAAAGAAACTCTGTCTTGGAAATCCAAAAGAGAGAGAGAGGAAAAAGAAGAAGAAGAAGAGGAGGAGGAGGAGGAGGAGGAGGAGGAGGAGGAGGAGGAGAGGAGAGGAGAGGAGAGGAGAGGAGAGGAGAGGAGAGGAGAGGAGAGGAGAGGAGAGGAGAGAAGAGAAGAGAAGAGAAGAGAAGAGAAGAGAAGAGAAGAGAAGAGAAGAGAAGAGAAAAGAAAAGGGAGGAAGGAAGGAGACTTTGCACTCAGATGTGTCGGGGTAAAAAAGTTCTGTCACTTATTACCTGTGGTACTGCAGCAACTCACCCAATGTTTGAGTCATATTTTCTCGCTATACAAAGAGAATCACACAGCCAGGTGTGGTGGTTCACGCCTTTAATCACAGCACTTGGAAAGCTGAAGCAGGATTACTATGAATTCAAGAACAGTTTGAGCTGCAGAGACCTTGTTTCAAAACAAAACCAAAGAAACCCCCAAAGACCAGGCTTTAAGATGGTTCAGTAGGCAAAAGTGTTTGCTGTCAAGCCTGACCATCTGAGTTTGATTCCAGGATCCACATGGCCACCTGGTAGAAGGGAGGAGAGACCCAATTAGACCTCCACACACGTACCCTCTACCTCACCCCCACAAATAAATGTAATAAAGAAAAACTTTTGAAGCATTAAATATTTTAAAAGGGAAAAATCATAATACAATATTTCCTCAAGCTCTGAGGACAATAAAATAATGTGTTGGGCCGGGTGTGGGTGCACACCTTTAATCCCAGAACTTGGGACGCAGAGACACGGATCTCTCCTCCGTGTAGCAGAAATGAACAGTTGTGGTGGTCCCAGCACAGAGGGCGTTTGATTTTCTTCCCTAACGATCACGAAAAGCCAGGGAGGTAATCAAACCAGAGTTGGGGTGAAATTTCCTATCTATCTTTGCATTTCCATTTACACCTTTAAAAGCACCCTCTGGTTATGGGCTCTCGGGTGGAGAAAGAGTCCTGGGGCCATTCGAAGACTTCACGGGCGAGCTGGGCGCGCGCGCCCCCGCGAGCCCCCGCGAGCCCCGGGATCTTCTGCAGCCTGCTGGCTGGAGCCCGGCTGGAACCCGTGCAGTAGACGGCGGGATCCACAGATGACTCACAGACCTTGGACACGTGGCAGGCGGTCCAGAACAGCCAATCACGAGAAAGCGAGCGCCCGGGGGGGACGGCGCGGTCGCGGGTCCGTCCCGGTGATTGGCCGGCGGTCGCGCCGCCGGACCCACGTGAGCGCCACGGCGCGGCTCTGGCTGGGCTCCTTCCGCACCTTTCCGCCGGTGACGGCGGCGGGCCGCCTCCTCGGGGCCGGGCCGTGGGCGGGGACGGTGGCCCGGGGGTTAAAGAGAGGCTCGCACGCAGCCCGGCTGCCTGTGCCCGTGCGGTGTCGTCCCCGCAGCCCAGTGTTAGGGGAGGACGCGCCGCGGGAGCCCGTGGATGGCGGCCCGGAGCCTTAAGGTGAGGACCGGGGGCGGGAGGGGAGCGCCGCGGTCTGCAGGGCGTCTGCCGCCGGCTGGACGGGACGGGTGCTGCCCTCCTCGTACCCAGCCGACCTGCAAAGTGGGCTGGACGGAGGAGCCATCTCCACCTTCCACTCCTGGTTAGGTACAAAACTCAGTACAGGAATCCTTTTACCCTCGCTAGAGTTGGGATTCTTCCAGTGGTTACGGTGAATGGGCACAACTAAGAAGTCACCTAAATTGACAGAGCAAGTCCCTGGCAGAGCTAGTAATTGAACCCCACCTCTCCCCCAATGCAGTGTCAGGCTGCGTCCTTTTCTCTCGCAGATTGGCGTTGACCAGTGATTGAGAAGCATTCAGAGTCGAAGTTCTCTTTCTGGCACTATACTAGTGCAATTTTTCCTCTGCCCCGCGGCTCTTTTTGTTTGTAGGGTTGCTGGGGATTGAACCTGAGGCCATCCCCAAGTGTGCTTCTGGGCTATGCTCATCGCTCTAACCTCACGATTCTTTATGGGATAGACTGTGTTGGATATAGAAGAAATTCTTGTTTTTGAAAATTAGATCAGTCATAAAAATGGAGGGTCACTTAAAAATGTTAAGGATTGCCGGAGACAGAGGCTAATAGCTATTAGGTATTGCTTAAATACTTCTGTCTCATGTACCGGACTATTCTGAGATCTTCACTTGTGTGAGATACTGGTAATTTCCATTTTACAAGACAAAAATTGATGCCAGGTAGTTTTCATCCAGCACCATAAAGCTGTTGAACAGTAGCCGGGATCCAAGTGGATATCTGATCTCTCCTATTTCTTTGCCAGCTCTGGTCCCAGCTCATTAGCTCCGCATCACCTGGAATACAGAGGCTTCTGTTTCCTATGGTTTGCAGGGGCGGGCCCAGGAATCTGCATTTTTATCAGCCTCTAAGCTGAAAATCACTGTAGAGTACTGTGATGTGCTGCCTCCTAGGGAAAAGCTAGAGAAGAACATATTCAGGGCTTTGGACATCTCCACATTGTATTCTAGGGTAAGTTTGGAAAAGTAGATAGGACAAACTTCGAGTAAGCAAACACCCAGGTTGATGCTAAGCAAACTCTAGGATTTTGATGCAGTCTTGGTTATAGTTTCTCGTGCAAAGAGACGCACACACTTAGTGAGTTAGATGAGAATAAAGGAAATATTTCCTTTTTCTTCCGGCAAAGCTCTTAAACTGTCGTTCATCCATTTTACAAATACTTGTGAAGCACTTCATAGGTGTTAGGCAAGCAATTTGAGGTTGCGGTTTAAAATAAGCGTAGGGGCTGGAAAGATGCCTCAGTGCTTAAGAATGTATTGCTCCTGCAGGGGACCTGAGTTAGGTTCCCAGGACCTGCGATGGGGATGCCTAACAACCACCTGTAACTGATAAGGATCTGATACTCTCTTCTGGACTCCAAGGGCACACACAGTTACAAGCACGCATGCATGTGTGTACATATACACATCATTAGAATGCATTTTTGAGTGAATGTATAATATGAGGTGGCAAAAAAGGCTATGGGGGGGGAACGTCAAGCCAAAGAGAAGGCGATGGCTCCAGAGAGGTAGATCTGGAGATGGCAGGGGTGCTATTTTACATACTGTGTTTAGTAAGAAACTGATCGGTAAGGTGACTTTGAGAGAAATAAAAAAGAACAAGTTGTGAATATAATTGGGGAAGGGCATTCCAGCTAGAAGAAAATAAACAAAAAACTGTGGAAGAAGCCAGAGCATGGTTGATTGAACTCATCTGGGACGCTGTTATCGTAACCAGATTATATAACAGAGATACATTTTATACTGTTGCTCCTGGTAGAACATGAAAGAATTGTAATGGTGTGTGCTTATAATAGAAAGCATAAATGGAGTGCTGGGGAGATGGCTCCGTGGGTAAGAGTGCTAGCTATCAAGCAGGGGGACCTGAGTTCGAGTCCCCAGCACCCACGTAACAGCTGGCCATGACCACTGCTTGAGTGTCTTGGGAGGCAGAAACAGTGGGATCTCAGGAGCCCACTGGCCCGCCAGCCTAGCTAACACTGTGAGCTCTGGGTTCAGTGAGAGACCCTGTTTCAGAAAATAAAGTGGAGGGCCATCAGGATGGGTTAGTGGGCAAAGGCAGTTGCTGCATTACTGACTTCAATCCCCAGAACTCATGTAAAGGTAGAAGCGAGAACTGATTCCACAAAGTTGTCCCCAGTCCTCACACTCATAATCCTGCACACAGGACCACACATGTACACATACAATAATTTTTAATTAAAAAGGCATGTACACTATAGCATGCACATATATATGCACACATACACATGGCTATAAATTTATTTCCTAATTAAAATATAACTATATCATTTCTTCCCTTTGATTTCCTCCCTTCAAACCTCCCGATGCCCCCCCACTTCCTCTCAAATATTTGCCTTCTTTTTAACTGTTATTGTTACATAGATCCATAAGTGCATGAACATATAAATACAATGTCCTGAGTTTGTTCAGTGTCACTTGTATGTATATGATTTCAGAGCTGACCATTTGGTATTGGAAGCTCATCCCTGGGGAAGACTAATTCACCCACTCTTACTTAGAGTTACTTACTTGGTTGTCTATAGTTCTTTGTCTGGGGTAGGTCCCAGTGGGATTGCCTCCTTCCACATTGACATGTCTACAGTGTCGGCCTCGTTCGGGTCTTGTTTAGGCAGCCATATTGTCGAGGTATCATGGGTGAAGCTTCCCCATCGTTTCTCTGAGACAGTCTCATGGTAGTTTTCCTGCCCTCTGGCTCTTCCAGGCTTTCTGCCCCTTCTTCCACAGTGTTCCCCAAGCCTCAGGTGTGGAAGCTGGGTTGTAGGTGTGCACATTGGGGCTGGACACTCCCTGATCAGTTGTTCTCTGAATTTTGACCTGTTGTTTTCTGTAATTGCACCCATCTGCTGCAGGAGAAGCTTCTTTGATGAGGGGTGACGGCTACAGTTACCTGTGGACAGAGGGATGCGTATTTAGAGTGAAGTTAGTAATTATGCTGATTAGTAAACGGCCATGGTAGGCCCTCCTCTGAGATTCATGACTTCACTAGCCCTAACTAGTCGGCTAGGTTTCCAGTATCAGGCATACATTCCTCCAATCAGATGGCTGTTGGTTACCGTCAGGATAGGAGTGCCATTATTGCAGCCCTAGGGATATCTTGCTATGCTGATCACTGTTGTGGTTCACAGGCATCACAGCTGGGTAGGACTGTTGGTGTTTTCCTTCTTTTGGAAGCTTGCATGGTTCCATGGGAGCTAGTCCTCGGGGGAGGCTTTCGGGTCAGATCAAGCTCCGATCCTCTGGGTCCTGTGTCTGAAGTGCACAGTGTCTGCAGCAATAGTGACTAAACCCCCAATTCCTGGGAGGCAAGCAAGGGCCACAGCAGTAGCCTCTATTGTCTTGGGTGAGTCTTGACTCCCTGACCAACAACTCAAAACCTGTGTCCTCCTGTTCCCCTTTCTGAGGCTCCACCTCCTCCCCCTAGAATCTCTTTTGACTTCTCAGGTTTCCATGGTTACTCCAGGTTATATATACTCACATCTGAAGATCTGGGCTTAGAAACCACAGATGAGGGAAAACATGTGGGCCTGGGTTACCTACCTCAATGTAATACTTCCTGATTCCATCCATTTACCTGAAAATGTCATAATTTCATTTTTCTTTACAGCTGAATAGTATTCCATTGTGTATATGTACCACATTTTCATCATCCATTCAAATGTTGAAGGACAATGAAGTTATTTCCATCCCCTAGCTATTGTGAATAGAGCAGGAATGAACATAACTGGAAAAATAAATGCTCCCTGAGGACCAGCTTTCATAATACCAGAAGGTGCTGTGCAGGAGGCCGAGGGAGGGAAGCAGCCAATAGTCTTGTCCAGGCTAGATCCTGCTCAGGTCCTCCAAGTAAGCATCTGTGTCATAGGGGGTTGAGTCCTTCAAGCGTCTGCCAAGGAGTGGCATAGCTGGGTCATAGATTTAGTCTTAGGGGCATCTGTCCTCAAGGGCACACACTCCCACACACACCCACACCTGTCTTTTAAAATATCTTTAAAAATTCTTCATCCATGTTGAAATGAAAATACTAAACCTTTAAGCATTGTTAGTAGCTGAATAATAATCCACTACAAGGCTGGACCACATTTTGTTGACCTGTACATGCATTGATGGATGGTTCAGTTGTCTCCACCATGGCTGTTCTTTCATGAACAATGATGTTCAAAGGTTGGCAGGAAGGGTTTGGATTTTATATTTTATAAGTCTATATATATTTAGATGTTTATATTTAGTGTGGTTTTATGTTTAATTAAATACTGCATCTTGAAAGCTCTTTTTCAGTTTCAAAGTTTTGAGAGTTTTCTTTTTTCCTGCTTTCTCTTAGGTTAAGAATATTACGATTCCTGATGGATGAGGTGGTGCACGCTTTTAATCTCAACATCCAGGAGGCAGAGGCAGGTGGATCTCTGTGAGTTCGAGGTCAGCCTGGTCTACAGGGTGAGTTCTAAGACAGTCAGGGCAACACAGAGAAAAAAAAACCCTGTCTCGAAAAACAAGCAAACAAACAAACAAAAAATATACATATAATTTTATGATTTTTTAAATTTTATCTCAGCTAATGATTTAGTATTTTTGCCTTAAAATTTTAGTGGTTACCCTTGTGCTTATAATATAATCTCTGTAGTCAAGGCTCCTCTCTTCAAACAATGCACTGCTTCACGTCTAAGGTAAGACCTTAAGGTTCTAACTCCCTTCCCATTCTTTGTGCTATTTTTTTTTTTCCTGTGACAGGGTTTCTCTGGCTGTCCTGGAACTTACAGGGATCCACCTGTCTCTGCCCCTTAAGTGCTTGTTTGTTTTTAACTAACTTGTTCCATTTCCCGAACTTGATTTCTTTGGTATGTCGAGCAGGGTTTCAGTCTGGCGGATGCTTTGTGCTCAGAGAACCTGCCTGCCTTCGGGTTGAGGAAGAGGTAGCTGCTGACCCAGCCTCCTGCTTTCTCGCCACTGCTTGGGCGCCCCAACGCCCCATGCTTGGGACCGAGGGTGGCCGGGCTACGGATTTCTCCCGTCTTCTACGGCCATGCCTGTCCCCAGCCAGCACAGAGCAGGTGGTGGCGATGGCAGCAGATGATGGGGAGAATGGCAGCCTGCTTGTGTGGCAGCCTGTGGCACTACATGGCACAAAACTAGGAAATACAGAACCACAGTTTGTCACCCCATCCCCTACTGCTAGTAAGGCGTTAGCAGAAGGGATTGAACTCAAAGGAGGAGATGAGAGGCTCCGTTGAGACCTAAATTTCTTATACAGTGTACCTATATGTGAAACAAAGTAGCCAGTCTGCCATGGACTAGATGAATATGGGGACTTGATGAAGGGACTGGGCGATTGAAATAATGAGGTGTGTGTGTGTGTGTGTGTGTGTGTGTGTGTGTGTGTGTGTGTGTGTGTGTGTCTGTGTTTTACATATGTAATTTTATATACATATATATAATTTTATGTATATAAAATTAGGTTTGTTTTGAGACAGGGTCTCATGTAGATCATGCTGGCCTCAAACTTGCTGTATAGGCTGAGGATAACCTTGAACTGTTGATCCCCCAAGTACGGGGGTTATAGGTGTGTATCATTATACTAGTTATATACTATGTGTTTTATTCAGCAACTGCTGAAAGACTAAGAAATGGGAATCTTTCCAGAATAATCCATGTAAAGGAGCACTAGTCAAGTCTGCCCAGATTCAGTAACCTGACAACGGTGACACAGATGTGTCAGAGTAGATTATACAGAATACTGGAGTCCCAGTTATCTCAGAGAATTTTCCGTCAACATTGGTTATGAGACGTTCTGGGGACCTGAAATCTTCTCATCCACAGTTTGCTAATCCAGACTTTATACCACATATCTCATAAGCCATGGATGAAGAAATTTAGAATTGCTCTATTGACATTAGGCATCTATTCTCCAAGAATATTGTCTTCTCTGCAAGTCTTGCTGTGTTCAGAGACTGGGCATCATTTGCAAAGAGATTTAACAACAACATCAACAACAAAATGAGGGCAGGCTGAAGTGTGTAAAGAATTGTGTGGTGGTTGATGTACCAGTCAGCACACCTCATACAGCAATTCGCAATGTGTTTGGAGGACAGAGGCTTGTGGCCATGCCTGAATTCTACCAAATATGCCTCACCAAAGAGTTCTAAGTAAGCACCTAGCATTTGCTGTCAAATTCCAGTGTTCTGAGTCATCATAAAATCGACCTAGTTTTTGAGGTTAACAAGATAATCTTTCCGATTATCTGTTTTGTCTGGGTGGCTGATTTGAGGTTTTAAACCTGACTTGAAATAGTAACAGCAGACTTGCTTATACAGGACTATTTTTATAAACATATCAACATGGAGATGTAAAGGAGTCTTAGGTCTAACAGAATGACATCACTTCCATTCTTCCTATGTCCCGGCTCTTTGTGTGCTACTGAATCATCCAGGATTTGATTATCCGTGTGTGCACACTGCTGTAATGCCTGAACTGCATTATGTCTCAAGTGTGCGATGGGAGAGCTCAGAACTTCATGGTTTTGTACTCTGAGGGGGAAAAGTAAAAAAACGGTTGTATTTGAGAGGGAAACAAGTGACCATGTAAAGGGTGAGTTTTAAGAAGATGCTTCTCGAGACTGAGCGTGTGTACTCATGGGATCGGTCACTGTATGAGTGGCATGTATCTGTCTTCAGAAGTGTCCCCGGAGCAACAGTGATAGTTAAGTGCTGGGTTTTGCTTTTCTGTCTGTCCTTCTGATTATTCTCCAGATTCTCAGACCTCTTCTTCAGTGTTTCTTGAATGTTTAACAATTCTTGGCCATTAAACTCTGCCCATTCTCTATCTTCCTCTTTGGGGATTTTAATTCTGTGTTTAAATAGTTTGATATGTCACTCTTGGATACTCTGTTATATTCAACATTTGTTTCTATTGGTTTTCTCATTTTTAGCACTATTTGATTCTTAGTTTATGTTTCTTAGACATGTTTTGAATTTGTTTTTATTTTCCTTCTTCTCTATAGCAGCCATAGAGGTGAAATTTGGGTCTGGTTATTAGTAGAAGTAGTAGTGTTTTAACATTTCTTTTTCTTATCTTAGGTTAGAAGAGCCTCTTGACCAAAGACTGCCCCAGACAGAAAATCAAACAGGCTCAGGAAAACAGGAAGTGAGAAGGCGGGGTGCTGCATTGAGGACCAGCCCACTAACTGTTGGACTTGCTCAGGGTCAGTAGTCTTCTGGATCTGGTCTCTTCCCCTTCTGGATTTCCTAAAGACCATCAAAATAATTATTGCTTTTTTCTTGCTCAACCTAAGTTAAAGAAACATGGGTAATTTTTATGTGTTCTTGAATAGGATATGGGCTCTTAGATTGTAACACCTTCGTAATGATAGGTCTTTAGAACCTAATAAAGGTCCTTTTTTTTTTTTCTCCCCCTGTCAACTCAAAACTTCCAGTCCTCCATCTACTTTGCCTTTATTTGGGCATAGTCACTATGTGTTTGTTCTTTGATTGATTTGAACATCTCTGTTACACTTGGTAGTGACCACATTGATGGACAGAAGGTCGTGCCCTTTCCTGCAGGAGCTGCAGAGGCTCCTGCTTGATTAAGAGGTACAGAATGCCACAGGACACCGAGGGAGAACTGATCCATTTGAGCTAAGGGGATTGGCTGGTGCTGTTAGTGATGGTAGCATTTCAGCTGGATTTTACAAAATGATTACGGTCTTGACAGAGAGATGGCTGTGCTAGGTGTCTTAGGGTTTTTATTGCTTTGAAGAGACACCATGACCACAGCAACTCTTGGACAATATTTCATTGGGGTGGCTCACTTACAGTTTCAGAGGTTCAGTCCATTATCATCATGGCAGGGAGCATGGCAGAGTGCAGGCAGATGTGGTGCTGGTTAAATCTTGATCAGAAGACAACAGGAAGTCAACTGAGACACTGGGCAGTATCCTGAGCATAGGAAACCTCAAAGCCTGCCCCCACACTTCCTCCAACAAGGCCATACCCACTCCAGCAAAGCCATATCTGATAGTGCCACTCCCTATGATATTATGGGGGCCAATTATATTCAAACTACCACATTCCACTCCCTAGCCCCCATAAGCTTGTAACAATATCATAATGCAAAATGTATTTAGTCCAACTTCAAAATTCCCCATAGTCTATAACAGTCTCAACAATGTTCAAAAGTTCAAAGTCTCTTTTGAGATTGTTTCAATCTCTTAACTGTAATCCCCTGTAAAATCAAAATCAAAAAGCATCACATACTTCCAACATATAATGACACAGGATATACATTACTATTCCAAAATGTAGGGAAGGGAGCATAGTGAGGAAATGCTGGACCAAAACAAGACCAAAAACCATCTGGGCAAACTCCAAACTCTACATCTTTATGTCTAATGTCAAAATGTTCTTTGGATCTCCAACTCCATTCAGCTTGGGCTGGTTCCATTCCCTGTTAGCAGCTCTCTTCAGCAGGTATTCCACTATTCTGGCATCTCTGACATCTTGGGTTCTCCAAGGCAATCCAGGCTTCAACTTCACAGTTTCAAGCAATGGCCTCTCTACCAGGCCTCCATTCAGGGACGCCCCTGACACATGCTTGGCCTTAGCAGTTTTCCTTAGGCATGGAGGCAAATTCCATAGCCCGTTTCTTCTATCCTTAACTCTAAAGCCAGAACCACATGGCCGAAGCTGCCAAGTTCTGCTGCTTGCTGGGGCTGGAACAAGGCCTCCTTGTTTAATTATCTCTTCACCAGCTTTCTGTTTTTGATGGTTTCCTTCCCTGCCTAAGGTTGGCTGTTCTGGAACTTGCTCTGTAGACCAGGCTGGTCTCAAACTCAGAGATCCACCAGCCTCTGCCTTCCAAGTGCTGGAATTAAAGGTGTGTACCACCACACCTGGCTCTAAGCTTTTTTTAATTCCTTTTCACAAGTTGGAAACTTAGTTGGGTGGGATCTTGCCCTGAGGTCACCACTCCCTTTATTCCATTTCTTAATCTGTTTATCTCCTAGAATACAGGAAATGGCTCCATTCCACTTCCTGGTGCTTTTTTTCTCCTCAAATTTTACATTTTGTATTTTTCCTTTTTCAGCTTGCTCTTTTTTCATTATAAATCTTCATTCGAGTTAACACTAATAACCACACAACAGAGTCTATACTAGGCTGTTTTGAGATTTCCTCTGCCAATGGTATTAATCCAAAACTTTTCACTTTAGCCTCAGACAGACTCTTTGGACAAGGGCCAAAGGTAGCCACTTGTCACAAGACCAGTCTCTAGGCCACATACTAACATTCTTCTCCTCTGAAACCTCTTGATTCCCACAGTTCATCAAATCATTCTCAGCACCACTGTCTTCCATGCTCCTACTAGTATGGCCCATTAAGCAGTGCTTAAAGCATTCACTGTTTTCCTAACCCAAAGTACCAAAGTCCAAATTCCTCCAAACAAAAAACATGGTCAGGCCTATCACAACAATACCCCAGTCCCTGGTACCAACTTCTGTCTTAGTTAGGGTTTTTATTGCTATGAAGAGACACCATGACCATGACAACTCTTACAAGGAAAACATTTAATTGGGGTGACTCACTTATAGTTTCAGAGGTTCAGTCCATTATCATCAAGGCAGGGAGCATGGCAGAGTAGGCAGACATGGTACTGGTTAAATCTTGATCAGAAGGCAATAGGAAGTCAACTGAGACACTGGGTTGTATCCTCAAAGCCCAGCCCCACAGTGACACACTTCCTCCAACAAGGCTATAGTCCACTCCAACAAAGCCACACCTCCTAACAGTGCTACCCTCTACAAGACTACGGGGGCCAATTACATTCAAACTCCCACACTAGGCAAAACTCAGAGTTTATGAGGAACTAATTCACTGACAGTTTACTCTGCTCCTTTAGGAGCCTGGTTCTTTTCCTGTTGTTGTAAACCTTTTGTTGTCTTTTCTTTTTTGTTGTTTTTATCTTTTTCTTTTGTTTGGTTTTCTTCTAGTTCCTAGTGATAGATCCTTTGGCACTAGATCTGGAGTTTAGGGCCCAGAGATGCAGGGTCACTTGTGTATCTTCCAAGTGGAAGTTCTGGGCAACATTACTTCTCTGCTCGGCCTGTGAAGACCATTGGTAGCATATGGAAAGGAGAAAGGCTGCTCTGATATATTTTTTGAGGAAAATCTTCAGAGGATCCAGGGAGATACAAAGGAGAGTCTTTAGTGTTCTTGAGAAGTTCTGTACCAACCCAGTGACTTGCTGTACGTAGTCTTCTTCTGGCCTTTCTCCCTGACCTCTCCCAGACCAGGACCGATGAGGCTCAATAAAGGAGTAGATATTTGAGATTTCTATCCCCAGACTGGGCATGGTAGGTAGCCCGTGCTTTTAATTCCTGTATGAAGGAGGCAGAGGCGGTGGATCTCTGTGAACTTTAAGCTAGCTTGGTCTGCATAACAAGTTCCAGGTCAGCCAGCGCTATATAGTGAATCCTTGCCTCAAAAGAAAAAGCCTACCCCAAATGGAATTCTTTAACCCCACGAATGATAAGCAGGACTGCTAATGTATGTGAGCACTGAGAACTAGTTTATAAGCTAACATATATATTTTCTCTGGGGTAGGAAGTAAACTATCTATCTCCAGAAATGTCTTCGGAAAACAAAGAGCAGCATGACCTTCCACCGCCGGACTTCCCTGAAGAAGCCTTCAGCCTTCCAGCTGAAGTCCCCCTGGATGCTGAAAGGGGAGCAAGCACTGACTTCAAGCAGTTGGAGACCAACGATCAATGCAGACCTTATCGTAGGATCCACCTGGAACCTCAGGAGAAACCAGATACTGACATCCAAAGAGCCGTCATCAGAAAGCTGCAGAAGAGTTGCCAGTGCAGCCCAGCCAAAGTCAGAAGTATGGTTTTTGATTTCTTTCCTGTCCTGCGGTGGCTCCCAAAATACGATCTGAAGAAGAACATTTTGGGTGATGTGATGTCTGGCCTGATTGTGGGCATACTCTTGGTGCCCCAGTCCATTGCTTACTCGCTGTTGGCTGGCCAGCAGCCAATCTATGGTCTGTATACATCGTTTTTTGCCAGCATCATTTATTGCCTGTTTGGTACCTCTCGCCACATCTCGGTGGGCATTTTTGGAATACTGTGCCTTATGATCGGTGAAGTAGTTGACCGAGAACTACATAAAGCCTGCCCTGACGTGGCTGCTACATCTTCTTCGTTAGCAGTGGTTTCAAATGGATCCCTGTTAGTAAACCATACATTAGATGAACTTTGTAACAAAAGTTATTATGCAATTAAAATTGGCAGCACTGTGACCTTCATGGCTGGAGTTTATCAGGTAAGGAATGGTGAACAGTTAGACCGGGTGTGGTAGCCCAGCACTTAGGGGGCAGGGGGCGGGGGCAGGAGGATCTCTGAATTTGAGGCCAGCCTGGTTTCATAGCAAATTCCAGGACTACATGGTGAGACCCTGAGACACCAGGAAAGACAAAAAGGGAGGGAGAGACTTAACAACTGGTTATTTCTGGCAAAAGTAATCACTATATTCAAAATCTCTACTGTGGGGGCTGTTAGGGGTTATAATAAAGCTACCATTTACTGGGTGCTGAAGCTGTGAATGGTAGGACCCAAAGCCAAACTCCACATTCCACTGGTAAAATAGGGCTGGCTTTCCTGCCTGTTCTAGGCTGCCTCATAAGCAGTGACCAACAATCAGATAGTTAAAAAAAAAAAATTAGACCAGAAAGGGTCAGTCCTCAGACCAACTAGTATAATTCTTAACTTTCTATGTAGAAAACACTGGGTTTACTTAAGATCACGTGTGGCTGATTATTAACACGAGGGTGATCGATGGGGGAGTGGTGGGGGTGGGAAAAGGGATGCCAGAATTGTTCAAATTACTGCCAGATAGATCCCACCTTCCTTAGGAATAGCTAGTCTAGTGAGAGACTTCTGCTAAATTTAGTAGTTCTCTTGGATTGATGAAGAGGGAGAGAAAAACTTGAAGACCATCTTTTACCTGCCAAGATAAATGATTACAAATTCAAAATTCTTGAGTCTCCTAAGGAACCTGCTAATCTGCTGTTATGATTATGCCCCTGCCTTTTAGCATCCAGAAATCAATACCAACATTAAACCTGTACTCTCTTGTAGGCATTTGGAGCCAGGAAATAAAGAGGAAGAATAGTTGGCTTTATTTGGTACTTGGATGAGGTGGGGAGACAGAAAGGGGTGATGGGTTGTGTTGCCTTGAGTCCATGTTGGCTTTCTTAGTATATCTCACCAAGGTGAGGAAGGGGTAATAGAATTCTGCGGACTCGGACAGAAAAGGATATGGTAGTAGTATTGCTAACTCAGAGGCAGTACAGTGTGTGATTCAGTTCTGATGTGAACCTAATTTTTCTACCAGCTAAAATTTTACTTTCAGTTGTATAGTGGTACATGCCTGTAATTTGGGAGATAGAGGCAGGATGACCAGGAGTTTGGGGTCATCAAAGTTCAAGACTATCCTGGGACCATGAGACCTTACCTCCAAAAATAAAATTTAGTAACCTTCCATTTTACAGTAATAATTTTTAATTTGGAGAAAATGTTTTCTTAAGTAGAAGAAGCATTTCTCCAATTTGAGTCTGTATACATGTGTATGGAGCCTTGAAAATCCTCTTTGAAAGCAATCTGAACTATGCCCCAGTTTCAAATTATCGTATAAGGTGGAACCTCCAAGTCCTCATTATAGGCGGGCTAGTGAGTGTGACTTTAGGCAAGCTTTGCCTTGTGACATGAAAAGTCACGTGTCATTGCGTTTCTTTTAGCTCTGACACTCTCGGTACTGATAGTCTATCACCGTGCAAGGCAGGCCAGGGTGGCATGGCCTGAGGAGCTGGCACCCATCTGTTTAACACTTGCCTGCGCTCCCTTCCAGGTAGCCATGGGCTTCTTCCAAGTGGGCTTCATCTCTGTCTACCTCTCAGACGCCTTGCTGAGTGGGTTTGTCACCGGTGCCTCGGTCACCATCCTCACATCTCAGGCCAAGTACCTCCTCGGGCTGAGCCTTCCTCGGAGCAACGGTGTCGGCTCAGTCATCACTACCTGGATCCATATCTTCAGAAATATCCACAAGACCAATATCTGTGATCTCATCACCAGCCTGTTGTGTCTCCTGGTCCTTCTGCCAACCAAAGAACTTAACGAGCGCTTCAAGTCCAAGCTCAAGGCACCAATTCCAACCGAACTCATTGTTGTGGTGGCGGCCACATTAGCTTCTCATTTTGGAAAACTAAACGAGAACTACAATTCCAGTATTGCTGGACAAATTCCCACTGGGTTTATGCCGCCCAAAGCCCCAGACTGGAGCCTGATTCCTAATGTGGCTGTCGATGCCATAGCTATTTCTATCATTGGCTTTGCTATCACCGTGTCACTTTCTGAGATGTTTGCCAAGAAACACGGCTACACGGTCAAAGCAAATCAAGAGATGTATGCCATTGGCTTTTGCAACATCATACCCTCCTTCTTCCACTGCATAACCACCAGTGCAGCTCTTGCGAAGACACTGGTTAAAGAATCAACAGGCTGCCAATCCCAGCTGTCGGCTATCGTGACGGCCCTCGTTCTTTTGTTGGTCCTTCTGGTAATAGCTCCTTTATTCTACTCCCTTCAAAAGTGTGTCCTTGGCGTGATCACTATTGTAAACCTCCGGGGTGCCCTTCTTAAATTTAGAGACCTGCCGAAGATGTGGAGGGTTAACAGAATGGACACAGTCATCTGGTTCGTTACTATGCTGGCCTCTGCTCTGCTAAGCACTGAAATAGGCCTGCTTGTTGGGGTTTGTTTTTCTATGTTTTGTGTAATCCTCCGTACTCAGAAGCCAAAGGTTTCACTGCTTGGTTTGGAAGAAGAGTCTGAAACCTTTGAATCCATTTCTGCCTACAAGAACCTTCAGACTAAGCCAGGCATCAAGGTTTTCCGCTTCATAGCCCCTCTCTACTACATAAACAAAGAATGCTTTAAATCAGCTCTGTACAAGAAAACTCTAAACCCAGTCTTGGTAAAGGCAGCTTGGAAGAAGGCAGCAAAGAGGAAACTCAGGGAGGAAACAGTGATTTTCACTGGGATCCAAGATGAGGTTTCAGTGCAGCTTTCCCATGAACCCTTGGAGCTGCATACTATCGTGATTGACTGCAGTGCAATACAGTTCTTAGATACAGCAGGGATCCACACACTGAAAGAAGTTCGCAGGGATTATGAAGCCATTGGTATCCAGGTTTTACTGGCTCAATGCAATCCTTCTGTGAGGGATTCCTTGACCAGAGGAGAATATTGCAGAAAGGAAGAAGAAAATCTTCTCTTCTATAGTTTGTCTGAAGCGGTGGCTTTTGCAGTGGCCTCTCAGAAGCAGAAAGGAGTGTGTGTTCTCAATGGTCTGAGTCTTTCTGGTGACTGAGAAAGTAAATAAGAAGAGTGTCTTGCCATTTCACCATGCAACGTTTTCTACTGTGAAAGGAGAAAGTGGTTCACTCTTGGAATAGTTCTCCTTTGAAGCGAAAAGCCTTTTGATATTCTCACGTGCACTAGAGCTTATAGTTGGGTGGAATCAAAAAGAAGAAAATGCTGTGGCTTCAGACTTTCATGCAGATAAGCACTCTTGGGGTACAATATAAACGGAATGGACTGTAAAGCAGCCCCCAAACTTGATTGCTTTACTTTAGGGGCTGTATATCAGAACTCTGTCCTCCAGGCGACAGAGAGGTGAAGTTGGGGTTTGCTGTACACACACTGGAGCCTTTGCATGGCTCTGCGGAGAGGGGAAGAAGGGCAGCATTGCTGGGCCGGAGCTGGTGAAGCATGAGGGCCTAACTAGATGAGTTCTGTTCTCTCTGGCGGTTCTCTGTTTGTGTTTTGCTCCCAGACAGCAGTAAGATCTCTGGCTGGTAGTTGGAAATACCGTTTTTCCTCTCCTTCACACAGGAGCTGTGGCGTAGTCTCCTAAGAGCATCTGGCCCTGACAGCCAGCCTGACACTGTACAGAACCCCTGTTGTAAACATCTGATGTTTTAGTCATCCCTTTTTTATTTAGAATAAGCAGGTAAGGAAGGAAAGAGTTCGGAATCAGGAAGACATGAGAGTCTTTGTTCTTCATCTCTCTCTTTGTTTCTGAGACTGGCTGTGGTGAGCTCTGTCTTCCCTTTGACTCGCCTGCTGCTTTCTCCTGGAATCTGCCTTCAGTTGGTTTTCTGAATCAGTCTCGTCAGACAAAGCAGAATATTTATTGGCTCAGCAGCTTCTTGTAGCACTGTAAATGGGCTTGTGGTGCATATTCAAGGAGAGATTAAAAAAAAAAAAAAGAATGAATGACAGTTCCTCTTAAGAAATGCCACCACCACCACCAGCCCAGCACTGGCATTTTAGCAAGGATCCGCTGGGCATTAGTAGTCTTAATTAAATAGAAGCGGCTGCTTGTAGAAGACTATAGAAGTGAAAGAGGGCGTCCTAATTATGTCCATAATTACCTTGCAGGTGTTGTGAAAACAGTGTTGATGTTTACTGCCCTGTTGGTATACGATAAATACTGATGTCAGTAACCAGTTTTAACTTGTATGCAAGAGGACTTGGAACTTTCACAGAACCCTAGTTTTACTGGTGTGTCATTCTTGGTAGCTGGCTCTAGGTTATGAACTGAGTAGTTTCTTCAGAAAAGCCCTTTGACAGGTGAGAAAAGAAGTTTACCCAAGTGAGGCATAGAGCACTAACCTGCGAGAGATTGAAAGCCTTACCCAAGTCCTTAAAGTAACGATTGCCAAAGTACAAAATCACTTTTAGCCTGTTCTTTTTGTTGTTGTTGTTGTTGTTTGTTTTGTTTTTCAAGACAGGGTTTCTCTGTATAGTCCCGGCTGCCCTGGAACTCACTCTGTAGACCAGGTTGGCCTCGAACTCACAGATGCAAAACAATTTCAAATAGTTATGGGAAGCAAACTCTATGTAGCAAACCTACTGAGGTAGAATGCTTGTAAACATCACACACACACACACACACACACACACACACACACACACACACACACACACTCACACACACACACACACACACACGCACTCCAAAACCCGCCCCTGTTGTTTTTCTATTGGTGCTGCAGTCCCATTTGCTTATGTAAGAAATGCCCTTCTGTGATCCCAGTAGAAGTTTCAGAGTAGAAAATTTGGTTTTCTGTCTTCTGGGTGGTTATGTTGATAAAGACCACACTGCTATGAGTTTGATATCCCTCGTGAACTCTGCCCGAGAATTTCAGAAATGTTAACTGCTGCTTGCTTGTTCTTTTATTTGACTTTCTAGCTTTATGAATAATTGTAAGATCACAGTATCCTGGTCATTTTTTTTTAAATTCCACTTGTCCTGTCCTCAAGCCAGGTTGGAATTAAGACTGTTACAGATGTTTAATACTCAGTGAGAGACAAGTAGGTACATGTTAGTGGCAGCTGGAGAGATGCTCAGTAGTTAAAAGTACTTGCTACTCTTGCAGAGGACCCAAGTTCAATTCCCAGAACCCCACATTAGGCAGCTCACAGTCACCTGTAACTCAAGCTCCAGGGGATCTAACCCTCTCTTTACCCCCGTGGGACACACACACACACACACACACATTTTTTTAAAGCACATGTTTAAGATAACTCTATAATCTGTTCAACACCAGTATGGAAGAATTTTAGTTCAGTGTTTGGAAAGTACCTGCCCTTTGCTTGACATGCAAGTTTATAGTGCAGCTTTAATAGGTTCTGGAGCTTTATACATGTATTAGCAAATTCTTGAGTTATGTTAAGGTTTGTGTTTGTCCCACAAAAGCCAACAGGATTCTGCTTTTTTTTTTGGGGGGGGGGAGAAGGGGTTTGAGACAGGGTTTCTCTGTGTAGCTTTGTGCCTTTCCTGGAGCTCACTCTGTAGCCCAGGCTGGCCTTGAATTCACAGAGATCTGCCTGGCTCTGCCTCCCGAGTGCTGGGATTAAAGGCATGCGCCACCACTACCCAGCGGATTCTGCTTTTAATAGCCATTTGTTAAACATGATTGCACCAGAATCTATTGCAGCCGTCTTCTTTGGGTTGAGATCTTCCTAACATCAAACATTAAAATTGATTTGATTGCTGATAATCGGAGGAATCAAATATAGAACCAAAACCTAATTTACCACCACCAGCAGCAACAATAAGAACTATTTTCATTTGCTTTTTGAATCTTTAAACATATTCATAAAAGTTATCTTGTTCACTCAGAACATTAGTGTGTAAAATATTTTCTGTTTACAAAGATGTAAAACCCTGAATGTTGTTAAATGGCTATCATTTCATTGAAATACTGTGTGTGTGTGTGTGTGTGTGTGTGTGTGTGTGTGTGTGTGTGTGTGTTATGACAAGGCCTTCTGTAGCACAGGCTGACCTCAAACATGCCAAGTAGCTGAGGGTGCCTGTGAGCTTTTGGCCTCCACCTCCAAGTGCTGGAGCGACAGGTGCATAGGGATGGGGTATGCTAGTGCACACGCAGACCTGCTACACAAAGAACACAGTTCAGGGGCGTGAAAGGATAGAGCGTTGAAAACTGTATCTGACCAGAAATAAAGAGACCTGGCTGGACAGGGTCCATGTCCTGGGAAACCTCACAGTAAGATCACGATTCAGAAGCACACCTCAAAGAGCAAAGTTAGAAAGAGGTTCTGTTTCTAGAAGGGGAGAGGCACAGACTCACCAAAGCCCCAAAGAGCTAAGAAGCATTTTCTGAGGTTGTAAGCAGAGTGTGGGTGGGCCTACTCAGGAGTACTGTCTTCCCTGTGAGCTGAATAGCTGTAGTGCTGTGTCTCAGCTAGGGTAAGGCTGGCAGGAGCCTAGTTAATTTTAAGCTGGGTCAATGGAACAGATATAATTTATATAAAAGTCTCCAGCCTAGCAAATGGTGAACTTGGAGACTACACAGAGATGCGAGATGAGTTCGTCAGACTAAGCTCCTACCTACATTCTAGCGCAAACAGCAATCCTCTTACAGGGCTGTTCCTGGCAGTTTGACATTGAAGAACACATTGCCAGGGTTAACTGCAGTCTGCAAGTACAAAGAGGAATGCAGTAGGTTTGGGGACTAATGTTGAGTCTCTTCATTTACACTGATGGACTCTGTGGCTCCTGTTAATATCCATCCTTACTGAAGCTTTTCTTGTGAGTACTGACAGAGATTAGCTGAAGGCTCTCTGCAGGAAGTAAACGCTTCTTCAGAGATCCCCAAATATCTGGAAGGCAGGCATCCCGGGGGGACTTAGAGAATGCTTTGTGGAGAGTGCTTGAGCGGAAATTCTGCTGCGGCTGGAGTGGAGGCGGTGCCCCCGCTCCCCACCCCAGTGTGTTCAGGAAACAGTCTGGAGAAAAGTGGACTTCTCCAGGTGACAAGCTTTACACGTTTGCCCACTCTTGGTTCCGTGTGTCCTTCCCCTCTTTGAATCTTTTCTTAATTCTAGTGATACTTTAACTTGAAGTTGGACTTTAAATGAAATTGCAGAAAGAATGAAATGCTACTTACAAAGCTGTTAGACTCTGTGGGCATGGTAACCTGCAAGGCACTTGAAGGCTGAGGCAGGAGGATTGAGTCTTTGAGGCCAGCCTGAGATAGTTGGTGAGACCTTGCCAAAAGAAGAGAAAGGAAAACTAGCTAAGTATTGGAGACTCATTTATCTAACCCTTTTTTGCATAAAATTTTTTAGATAATCATGGATGATAATAAGTTTGGGTGCTAAGTTTAAGCATGAAAAATATAATGAAACAGGATAAAACAGTACACCAGCTGGCTTTCTTATAGACTTTATCATACAGTAAAATACAACTGAGTTACTTGGAGTTAAAAGTAAAAATAAGTTTTTTTTAAATAGTAACTTAGAAATGGAGGCTTTGATGTAGAAGGGGGCATTTTTAATAAGGTAATTTTTATCATGGTAAGAACTATTTTTTTACTAAAAGTATTTTGCAACTGAAATTTAAAAATAAACCTGTTAAATACAATTAGAAAGTCAAAGAAACATTATACTAGTAGGTTTTTTTAGTATGTATTTTGTACCTTCTGGCTTAGTTTAAAATAAGAATGTATTGAAGGCTGCAGACTGAGCAGTGAGGGCATCAAAGCTTTTATTGGAGATACTGTAAGTCTGTCGTAGCCGCTGGGTTACAAAGGGTTTTCGTTTGAAACTTGAATAAACGTATTTTGAGGGTGATCCTGCACTCTGTGCCTTATCCCTAGGAGGAAACACGGAATCAAACAGCTTTCTTTCTTTCTCAGTGCAAATCATTTGAGAAACTGGGATCTGAGTCCCGATGTCGCCATGGCTTCTGTGTCTTAGGAGTGTGACTATACCTACACAGCCTGCTCCCTCACTTTGTAGCATTGCATACATGTGCAGACAATATGGAGACAGATAAATGAACTTGAACTCCCAGTCTTTACCAAAAAATGTTTAGCTGTCACCATCCTTTGCCATTAGGGGCATATTTTATAGTAGGCTTTTTTAATTCAAGTAAGTGCCTTGATGCTGTTCCTCATAAATCATTGCTCAGCCATCCTTCAGAACAAAATAAGGTATTTCCTGTTGAGGGGAGGGGTCGTTAATCATTTTCTTCTGGAAGAATGTGTTTGAGCTGCTTATTTTGTAAGGTCCTCTGTGTTTGAGATCCATTTCTTTTGTTAATAAATTGTTACTGTAATAAAATATTACTATTACTGTGTGTAAATTATTTTAGTGCCAGGGTCCTGACTAAAACATTTAGCTATTGGTGGGTTTGATTAAAAATATTTTAACTTTTATGTTTTGGGGTGTTTTGCCTGCATTGTATGTCTGTGCCCCATGTACATGCAGAGGCCAGAAGAGGGCATCAGACACCTTGGAGCTGGACTTAAAAACAGTTGTGAGTCACCATGTGGGTGCTGGGCATTGAACCCTGGTCCCCTGGAAGAACAGCCAGTGTGAGCCATCTCTCCTACCCCAGATATCAGCGAATTTGAAAGTGCTCTTTTAGTGGATATGGTAGTGCAGGCCTGCTTCCCCAGCACTCAGGAAATAGAGGCAAGGGCAGAGAGATAGGAAGATCAAGGCTGTTTCAATAAATAAATTATATTTGGAGAATGAGCCAGTTTTCCCCAGTGGTACAGAAGTATCCAATCATCAACAAAGCTCAATGCTTTTCCTTTGGGGACTCAGTTTCTCCATTAGTGTAAACATAACAGGAGGCTTAGATTGTTTCAAGACCCCTCAGCTCTCACAATGCATGGCTCCTGTAACATCAGAATCAGAAAGCCCAAATCTGGTTGGTTTTAGACATTTTGCTGGTTGTTTGACACAGGGCCTTGCTGTGTAGTCCACACTGCTGATCCTCCTGCCTCAGCCTCCTCAGTGCCAGGATTACAGGCATGCACAGTCATGTTTGGCTGCAAGGCACTTGGTACTACCACTTTCTGTATCTGCCCTGCAGTCCCTCCCAGGAGCCTTCTCAAATGGGGCTACCACCATCAGTTTCTAGCCCTTTTGTAGCAACCTGGATATTCTGTCCCCAACCTCATTCGCACTGAGCAGAGTGAAGGCGTTAACTATCCTAACCATTCTGTGCAGAGTGTCTGCACACAGCACATCCTGGACCCCATGGAGAGCACTCACTCATTCTTTGGTGTCTCATTCAGCCACCTTGGAGGGCTCTGCTCCTCCATATGTCCTCTAATGCTTTGTGTTCTTGCCCTCTTCATTTAGAACCATTGCTTAAGTCCTTTATTACCAGGTCCAGTACAAAGTGAACTTATGGCTCGTGGAGAAATATTCACATGTACAGGTAATAAACACAATTACAGTAAGGTGGGTTCAAGACCATATCCCAACAAATGTTGGTTCATGAATCCTCTTGAAAACTGTAAGCTCTCTCCAGGTGTTCATATCGACACATACAGCTCCAGCCACCTTACTGCCCTTGCAAATGGTGTATTAGATTTCTCATGAAAGGGGAAAGGTGGCTCAGCTTAAGAGCATTTGCTGCTTTTGCAGAGAACCTGAGTTTGATTCTCAGCACCCACATCAGGCAGTTTACAAATGTCTGTGACTCCAGCACCAAAACATCCAATGTCTTCTTCTGGACTTGGACATCTGCACTCATGTACACACACACACACACACACACACACACACACACACACACACACACACATAATTAAAAATAAATCTTATACAATTTTTTAAAAAAGGATTGCAGTGTAACCTTAACAGTAACTGCATTTTTTTTAAACTCCTAAGGCTTACAGGTATAAGCCAACACTCCCAACTTGCTATGAATTATTTAATTAAAAAATTACAACTTATCATTGTTCTCCAGTGTTTTCAGGATAAGCTCAAAATAGATGTCTCACTGACAAGACCTTAAGAACTCCAGCCTTAGCTGTGCAGTGGTGGCATACATCTTGAATCCCAGCACTTGGGAGGTAGAGGCAAGTGGATATCTGAGTTGGAGGCTAGCCTGGTCTACAGAGCGAGTTCCAGGACAGCCAGGGCTACATAGAGAAACTCTGTCTCCAAAAACAAACAAAAACTCTGGCCTTAACTGGGGATGGTGGTGCATGCCTGTCATCCCAGCATTTAGCATGTCTAAGTAGGATTGCTAACTCCAGGCCAGCCTGGGCTACATAGCACGACAAAAATCTTTCTCAAAAACAAAACCTAAAATAACCTTCTCATTAGAGAGGAAAAAAGAACCCCAGCTCTGCCCTTGATTACCTCTAGCCTTTGTTCTACCACACATTCTTTGCCTAACATGCCAACCACTCGCCTTAGGAGTGCCCAAATGAAACAGCAAACACCCCAGGCCTTTAAACTGTTCCACCTTGAGTTGCCTCCCAACCTCTTCTGCCAGCTAGCTTCCTGTTCCTCCTTCCTGCATGTCACTACTGTCCTTTGCTCTTAGCAATATGTTCCATAAATTTCCTCTTCTCTCAATCAGTGGGTCCTTTGGGCTCCGTCATCTGCACTCTTACGTGGTCTGTGCATAGTGAGCAAAATGAGGGTTACCCTTCATTTCCCCAACTTCTACTAGCTTCTTGGTAACCCATGTACAGAAGGCCAGCAGTATCTATATTGTAAGGTAAAATAAATTATTATTGCAAGCACGGATATGTTTGGTGGATAATTATTTCTTCAACAATAATTTCTGGAACATGCCTGTCTATCAAAAGGCAATTACATTGACAATAATATCCATGGGTTGAAAGAAATCTTTAATGAGATAGATAATGGAGTAGGTTAGATAGTCTCCGGCACAGTTAGTTCCATTTTTAGTCCTTTGAACGAGGCCCACACTCTGTGTCTCCTCTTTGTTTACCTTCTCTGGATAGCTCTACCACATCAGAGCAACTACAGCTGGATGCACCTGAGGTCTCTTCAATAGCCAAGTTTTCTCCCTTACATGTAGCCCACCTGTTCCTTCTGGTGGCTGGAATATGCAACTACACTGTAAAGAAGTAAGCCCAGGAGCACTAGTTACTCATTCAGCTCTGTAACTTGAAATTGTACTTTTGCAATGATTTTCTAGAAAGATTAAATGATAACAAATTAAACGGTACTAGACATAAATGGGCAATAAATCTTGGTTTTCTTCCCTCTGATGAAAGAGCCCGGCAAAGGAAATTCCCAGAACACCAAAATCAAGCATGTGCGTGCGTGCATGCATGCGTGTCCACTTGGGATGGCTTCTGTGGTGAGTTTGGGCTGTTCTGATAAGGAAACCTCATCTTCTCTTCCACCTTTACCAGCATGCACCACTCCCGGGGTCATCTCTGGGACCATCAGCTCCAGGGAATAATAAGGTCATCCCAGCATGCACCATTCCCTGAGTCATTTCTGGGACCATCAGCTCCAGGGAATGATAAGGTCATCTTCAGTGACAAAGTCCTGGAAATTTATTTCACTGGGCACACAGGTGACAAAGGGACACAGCTGCTAAATGCCAAAATGGTTTTTTTTTCCAGAAGATTTTATTTTTATTTTTGAGACCGATTTTTTAATGTTATGTATGTGAGTATTCTGCCTACATGTCTATGCACCAGCTGTGTGTTTGGGCCCCAGATGCCTTGGAACTAGGGTTATAGACAGTTGTAAGCCATTGTGTGAGTGACAGGAACTGGGATGGCTATTCCTGGTTGTCACCTTGACTGCATCTGGAATGAACTAAGTCCAGAAATGGAGGGTACACCTGGGAGCTGGATCTTGAGGCAGGAAGACAACATGCCTTTGATCAGGATCTTGAGGCTGGAAGGCACTTTTAGTCTTCTGATAGGTGTCTATACAAGGATAATGAAAGAAGGAAGTGTTCATTCTTCACCTCCTTGTCCTCGCCTTGGCATCCATTCCTTCACTAGCACTGGAGCCTCCTTCTTCAGGATGCCAGCATCTACAGAAGACCAGCTGAGACACCCAGCCTCATGGGACTCGGCAGCCACTAGATTCTTGGACTTTCCATTCACACCTAGCCATTCTTAGACTGCAACCTGTAATTCATTCCAATAAATCCCCATATATATGTGTATATATAATGTATATATATATATATATATATATGAGATAGAAAGAGACAGTCACACACACACACACACACACACACACACACACACACACAGAGAGAGAGAGAGAGAGAGAGAGAGAGAGAGAGAGAGAGAGAGAGAGAGAGAGAGATTCATTCCATAAGTTCTGTGACTCCAGGGAACTCGGACTAATACAGGAACTGAACCCGGGTCCTCTGGAAAAGCAGTCAATGCTCTTAATCCCCCAGGCATCTCTGCTGCTGTGTCAGATCTCTCAGTTTCATGGCTCTGAGGCCTGCCCTCTGCCCACACTTCACCACTGTGAACTGCCTCAGTCACCACGGTAGCAAGTATACCAACGGCTTGCTTGATGCTCATGTCTTCTTGCTCTTCACTGCTGTTGAGCTGGAGGAGAACTGGTTATAGAAGGTGGCTCCTGTACACCATTTCTGGGGTCTGGGGTGGGAGTTATGCTAGGGTTCAGTGGCTGTAGGACAGCAGTACAGTTTGAGGGCAGATGCCTAACTTCTTTAAGTATGGAAGTGTCTTGTGAGCACAGCAGCTGTCCATGAGCAGAATCCTGTGTTCTGCCTGCTTCATCCTGGTCTCTGTTTGCATTAACCACTCATTAATCAGGTCCTGTGCCATCCATGCCAGTGGCTGGCTCAGCAATCACTGGTGGGATAGACATTCTTGAGATGCTGTGGCTTTTACCATCAATGGTTTCATGTTTTCTGACCCGGAAGTATTGCAACAAAAGGCAGCTATCAATCACGACTTTGCTTTCTTGCCCTCTTTACGATGGTCCCTGTCTAAGTTAGGGTTTCTATTGCTGTGATAAAACACCATTACCAAAATCAACTTGGAGAGGAAAACGTGTATTTCATCCTACAGCTTGTAGTTCGTCTGTCATCCAGAGAAGTCAAGGCAAGCAGTCAAGGCAGAAACTCAGGTAGGAACTAAAGAGGCCATGAAGGAGCACTGCTTATAGGCTTATTCTCCATGACTTGTACACCTCGGGACCCCCTGCTCAGGCTTGGCATCACCCACCGTGGGCTGTGCCCTCCCACATCAATTATTAATCAGGAAAATCACCCTGCAGACTTGCCTATAGGGCCAATATTATGGAGACATTTTCTCAATTAGGCTTCCCTCTTCCCAGATATATCAAGGTTTGTGTCAAGCTGACGAAAACCAACCAGTGCAGTCCCCTTCCGTAGAAGGGTGTGGTAGGGGAAAGGACAGGGAAAAAGCCAACTCCTGCCTCAGTATTAAAGATGTCATCTGGACTACAGTCAGCAATCCTGTCACTCATTACCCGTATGGGTTCATTATGTCACCTGCCTGTCTGCAGCTTTCAAAGCATTTCCACGGAGAGCTATAAATCTGTTCAGTCAGCCCATAGGTGCTTGAAATCGTCACAGTCAAGCATGTTGGCCAAGTTTAACGCCTTTTTCCGATTAACAGACCAGGGATGAGGATGGTTTTGGCGCGAAGTTCTTGAACCCATGCAGAGAGCCTAGGTGCCATTGCGGAGCGCATTCCTCCTCCTGTCCCTCTGGGGCCCCACAGATGTCTCTTGCACTTTCTCTGTATTGGGTATGACCATGCAGTGATGCCTACGCTTCCACAGCTTTCATTTTCTCCTCCAGGGGGGGGACACGGCTGAAGTTTCTGCTTCTCATTCTGCACCATTTCTAGGGGATGAGGGCTGGGCCACAGCTAAGAGGGCTGTGTCTGTTCCTCCTTCCAGCCTGTTCTGCCACAAGTGTGGGAAAACAAGAAGATAAACTGAAGGACCTCACAGAAACCTGAGTGAGGGCTTAGCGTGTTAAAATTTCTAGTAGGAAAAATCGTGAGAAGACAGGATCCATGACACTGACTCTGTGTCAGTATTAGACTATCGGGAGACTCAGAACATTTAAAACAGAAAGGGTCTTAAGAAAATCTATTTACTTAAGCTTTCCAAGCCTGGGAACAGTAATGTTTGCTTAGGTTGCTATGACAACAGACTGAAATAGGTCGCAAAGTCTTGCAAATAGCAACACACTATAAATTCAAGGAGCTCGACACCTTGTTTTGTAGATACAGAAACAAGCCAGAGGAAGAGCCTGGTCCAGGGTCATGAAGATTTCTTAACTTAGATCACTGATTTATCTGGCATGCCACTGCCCTGCTCAGAAGTTCACCAAAATGAGAACTACAAATTCTCCATCTGTCTTAGAAAGATTTTCACTACAGGAAGCTGTTTCCGGGTGTCACACATTCACGTAATGGACATTTACAGGTTCCAAGCAGTAAGGGCACAGTGATGAACAACAGAGTCAAGTTATATGCCCCCAAGAAATAAAAAATGGAGGGAAACAGTAAATAAACTGATAAATAAGGCACTTACAGAATGCAGTAAGTACTGTGAAGAAAGTAAAGAGTGTAGAGAAGAAAAGCAAGAGATCTGTCTGGCATGGGGCTGTGAGTCTTGTGATCCAGCTACAGAGGAGGTTGAGGGAGCAAAGTCAGTTGGTGGTCAGCCTCAGCAAGTTAATGAGACTCTATCTCAAATAAACATTTTAAAGGCTGGGGATATAGCTCAGTGGTAGGGTACTTGCCTAGCGTGCTCAAGGACCAAGGTTAATCCTCATTACTGCAAAGGCTGTAGGGTGGGGTGGGGTCTATTTACAAAGTTAGAGAATGGCATTTAAGCTGAGATCTCCATGAAGAGCATCAGAGAGGGGCAGTGCAGCCAAGGATAAAGCATCGGCCAAATCTCAAAAGCAGGAAAGAGTTTGAAGTGTTCTGAAGGATATGCATGACTCCAAGTGGAACAACAGTCATTTTTTTTTTCTTGTTTAAAACCTTTCAGAAACTCCCTGCTGCACTCATATTAGCCTCCACATTTTAGAGGGTCAACTCCCAGTACAACAAAAATAAATACCTGATAAACAAACTCCAAACTCTTCCTGCTGGATGGTGTTTTGTCTGACCAGACTTAGCAGAAAAGGCATTTGTTTTAAATCTTCAAAGCTCCTGATTGGTGTCTTAGGGTTTCAATTGCTGTGAAGAGACACCATGACCATAGCAACTCTTATAAAGGAAAACATTTAGTTGAGTGGCTTACAGTTTCAGAGGTTTAATACATTATCATCTTGGCAGAACATGGTGGCATGCAGGCACACATGGTGCTGGAGAAGGAGCTACATCTTGATCAGCAGACAACAGGAAGTGGTCTGGCACACTGGGCGTGGCTTGAGCATATATAAGACTGTTGTTTTTCATTAAATTCAGTGGCTGCCCCTTAAGCAACTGTAACTCCGCAGCTACCAGCAAAGACTTGATGACAGAGAAAAACATAGGAATCCTAGAGTTTGGAGTGTAGCTTCATAGCAGGGTACATGTACAAGGTCCTGAGCTCAATCACCAGCACCAAATGGGTGCTGGTCCAGATCAGATATGGAAAGCTGGATTAGAGAAAATGGTGACAAGTATTCAGGTAGGGCTGTTACTGTGGGCTGGGTGTGAAGCGAAGGAGTAAAGGGTAACTCTCAGATTTCTGTTTTGAGTGTTGAACAGTCCAGTGGATGCTGATGTAACTTAC